AAAGTATTTTTTATTCTATTTTTTTTTTTATTGAATCAAGGGTTAATATTTTAAATACATAGTTGACAACATTTTTTTTTTGATTCTGGTCAAAAACAAAATCTTTATTGATAAAATGCTACAAAGTATCTGAAATAGTTGAACCCAGTCGATAAAGAGGAGCTTAGCGAAGCTAAAGAAAAAGCACTTCTAAGCCGCCAGTTGTGGTGAGGAATCAACCAAAAGAGCAAGAGAATAAGGGACAACAAAGAAACAGATAGCTATAAAGTCCTGGAGCCTCCACAAACTGTGTAAACTGTAGAAAGAATGTAGAAGACAACTGAAGACTGACAGTTTTAATACACCAATAAATCCATGAGTTTGTACATAAAACGTAGGAAAAACGATATGGAAACATAAACAGTACCAAACCTTACGCCAAGACAATGCAGCGTGATAAGCACCGTTTGCCTAAAACATGAACAAAGCTGGTGTACATACACTGAAACTTGCAGCCAACATTAGCCTCCCAACACAGCCATTACCAGCCTATAACTAAATGAAGCACATAAATGTAAGCTCCATCACCGCCGAATCAAACAACTTCCAAAAACCAGATAAGAACAATCTCCATACAACTACCAATAAACACTTCATGATAGAAACTCCAGCACACACTCAAACAGCAAGATCAAAAGCACGAAACACAACTGCCATTGCCAACATACACCACAGAGCACCAGGCAACCACCAACTAGGCCACCATAGCAGACAGGCAACACCAGCAGAAACAGCATGTACACCACACCTACCTCACCAAGTCAACCCAGCCACACATCAACTACTCTTTATTCCTTAATTAATTGACATTAATGGGGGAATACTGCATTTGTTCTATTTTTTTAGGTTCCAGCACTGTCTTACTTCGAAGCTTGTTCCAAATCTTGGCTTTCCAATTTCTTGAACAATGCATTAATCTCTGAGAGTTTTCTTGCCATGTATCAGCAGGTACACTCTAAGACAATTGGATTCAGTCCAATACTACAAAACCAAGCAAAATATCCAATCTAACAAACATGAGCATTAGCAAGAGGCAGGCCCAATCTAGAGCCCATACAAGAACATCGCATCACAATAAGACAATTACACAACCCGTCAAACCCCTCAACCCACGAGATCGAACATAGCATCAACACAGGCACTTGGAGCTAAACTGGATCACAGATCCTGGAGCAAAAACCAGCGCAAGTTCCAGACTATGAGCTAGTTCATACCATAGAGGAATTAATACATAAAATCTAGCATATACAGCATGAGTAGTAAACTTTTGACTCAATTTAATGCTTAAAAAGATTTAATAATTTTTTTAAAAAAATTATTAACTTTTCGTATCATCTTATATTATCATTGTAATGAATCTCACTATTTATAATCTACTATTCATTGGATAACGAGGGGAGCACCCGTGTAATGGACAGATCTAAAGAGATAAGGGCCATTCAATCATCACTTTCTTTACCTCGGGGACCGGGCTGCAACCTGTGACGAAGTTTGCCGTGGTGCTCCATCTCCATTCCATCATCAGCCCCGATCTTGCGTGGTGTAATCTCAAAGATCCGATCGAAGATCTCAACATCGAACATTCAACAAACCTGGTTAATGGACAGATTCTAGAGAAGATTAACGCAGATATTGTATAAATCAGATCAAAATCAAAAAATATCCGCGAGCAATTAGCATAACCAGCATTGAAAAGCAGGTTTGTACCCCACTTCGAACTAGGTTTTGAATCGAACAGATTTGTATGTGGTATGTTCTTGAACAGTGTCCTTGCAAGTGCCATTCTTGTCTTCATGGAGATTTTATGTCACATTTTCGTATTGATCCGATTTTCTCTTTGTATGGTGATACTTTCTACTGTTATTTGTTGTTTGTTGTTACTATTTATTTTATTTTATTGCTGTTGCCGTAAATTTAATAGGGGAGGGTAGTTTTATAAGTTCGTTTCAATAAGAGAATTTTTTCTTGAACTAACATAATGATTTCATTGTGAGATATTGAAACTTTTGATAGTGGAGACAATTACAGTCCGTCGTGAATTATTAATGCATAGCCACGTTTGAATGGTATGCAAACTATCTATCTATGATTTGGTTAAGAGAATAAACAAAAGACAAGTTACATAGAATTGAAGGCAAGATTAAAAGTTTTCTATTGTTTTGACACTTATCTTTAAATGGAAAATGATACATTTCCCTTCTTTCTATCCTATCTACAAGTAAGAGTTGATAATGATGATGAGAAGCAACAAATTGCCGTGCAGATTAGGAGGAGAAGAATGAATATTCCACAAAATTAAACAGATGTATAGTCACAAAATTTTCTTATAGGAATTATTAAGTGGCATTTTTTCCACTCATATTCAGCAGTGAAGTGGTGTTAGATGTAAGATTGTAATTTGTTGCTGCTTTGGTTGGTTGGTTGCGGTGCACTTTTCGCTCTGTTTGGGGATGGGATGATGATTGAGAGATGAATCTGTGCTTGTGATGTATGTTATGAAATCTTTTTATAAGGAATTGATTTTAACAGAATAGGTATGGTGATAAATGAAGAAATTCAGATATGCAACCAGTAAGAGATGTAAAGAATCTTGAAACATATAGTGAAATATAAAAATTTTGGTATACCCCGCACATACCACCCCCATCAGTAAAACAATTTGTTGTAAATTGATTTTCAGATCAGGTAAGCTAAAAATAAGTTTTTCAAAAAGTGTGGAAAATGAAACAGAATAGACAAAAAAGGATTAGATAAGAACTGTACAGAAAATTGGACCACAGGTAGATTTTTTATTGACAAATATTTTATAATATGATAAGGAAACATTTGAATTAAAAAAGGTTAAAAAATTAAAATAGACAAAGGGCCTAACAAATCATGGAACAGATAGCGCAAAACCAAATTTGATGGTCAATGACACGTCAAACAGACTACATAAAAAGTCTCAGGCAAAAATGAAAAACAAATGTCTGAGACCAGGATCTTTCTCACACAAACAAATAGATAATCCCACTAGACTCACAGTATGCCTTTAGTAGGTCTCTCTGAAATTGGGGAGATTAATGCCACCAATTTCTCTTATTTTATTCTTAAAATAATATAATACATAATTATTCATATTAAGATATGGGTTTTATCAAATAGATATATAGATATTACACTACAAGAAAAAACACTTTTGCGACCATCTATTTTTTTGGTTTGCCAAAATAGTCCACTTTTCTGCGACTAAAATTATAACTTTTGGTCGACCTGGGGTACTTTGTAATTTTTTTGTGGAGTCGCAGGAAAATAAACCTTTTGGCGACTCAATAAAAAAAAGTTTGGTTCCGCTTGAAAAAGTATACTATTTTCTCTGAAGCCCTAGTCTCTTTCAGTCTCTCGTTCGCTCTCTCTCTTTCTCTAAACCCTCTCAATGGATCGATTCATCTCTCGCTGATTCGTCTCAGAATGATACAATTTCAATTTTGATTTTGATTTCGAAGTTCTCTCTCGATTTCGATTTCGAAATTTAATGTTTTGGTGATTCTCTCTTTCAATTTCAAAGTCTATTTTGAATCTGAGAATAATTGTTAAAGCCCTTTGTAAACCCTTATTTGGAATCCTCATGCCTTCAATTCTCGTCTCTCTTAACCCTCTGTGAACCGTTATCATTCTCACAGATTCATCTTTGAGATTTAGAGCGATTTCGATTTCGATTTCGAAGCTCCACCGTCACCACCGTCTGCACCTGCTCGATTTCTATGATTTCGATTTCATCTGAATCTCTGATTTCGATTTCGATTTTGATTTCGAAGCTCCACCGCCACCACCATTTGCACCGCCACCTCCACCGCCACCACCATCTGCACTAGCAAGGTATCGATTTCTCGAAACTGGCTTCTCTTCAACACAACAGCACATCGTGACTTTTAATTCCTGGTTTTAAATTTTTGTCTTCGGTAAATCACATCTTTATCTGTTGGCCAATCTTCAATTGCTGATTAAATTTCTGAACTTATTAAGAGACCTAAGCTTGAGGCAGGTATCTGTTATGACCCAGAAGATTTCCGAATCCACCATGATCAGACATGCTCTGTCCTTTGTAGTTGCTGAAATCTTATCCATGATTTAGAATTACGCGATTGATTCGAACGAGATGATGTACCAATTTTTTTTGGTATACCTATTTAACTTGTTACTCTGGAGTCTTAGGGGTCACAGAAGTATTTAATCAATAAAAGAGTTCCACTGTTATTTCCTACATTAAATTTGCTTACATTCTTACATGTTTGAAGCACATTCCTCATGATTTTTTTTATATTTTCTTCATCTATGACTCTGATATTTTTTCCACTTACTTTTGAGTTTAGCTGCTGGAAGTACTTTGGAGAAAGCCACAGACTCCACTGGCATTGCTGGTAGTGCTTCTTCAGGCCTTACTGGCAACTTTTTAATGGAAAATAGTGAGCGAACTGAGATAAATTTGCGTATTACGCAAAAGTGCTTAAGTATTAATTCCTTTTCCTATGTCAAAACCTCTTAAGTAGCCGTTGAAGTGGAATGAGAAGAAGGTGAAGGTGGCACGGCCGTAGAAACATTTACTGACTATGTGAATTTTATGTCTCTTTTAGAATGTCTTAATAGATCTACCTTGGGTATTAGTTTCGGCCTTTATTGTTGGTTTGAACTGATGGAAACTATTGCAGATGACTTTTAATTCTTTTAATTTTTCCTTTTCTGATTTGAGTCCAGCGCCCTCCCAAACTTTCTATTGGTCCTTCCCATCTTGATCCTGTTTGATTCAATGAATCTTTATGTAGGAATTGGTTGTATCCTGTCATTAGTGCGCTTGTCAAAGTGAATTTTGTAGTTTGTTATCTTCTTTGTCAACCGTAGTTCACAAGATGAAGGGTCAACCGTGCGATTGATATAATTTAAAAAGAGGTGTATGATTGATTGTGTTGCTTTGTGAAGGCCACCATGGGAAGCGATAAAGCTATGAAACAATCACCCTCTAATACGCCACTGGAGGCAAGTGATAGTAGTCCTAAATCACCAGATGAAGGGTCAAGTAGGGGGAACTCAAAGCCGTTGCCATTTGAGTTCAGAGCTTTTGAGATTTGCCTAGAATCTGTCTGCAGGGGCCTTGAATCTGAGGTATGACTATTAATATATATATGTCCTAATGCTTTTGCTTTGTATTTCTACTTCACTTGAGCTGTGAAAAAAAAAACTAGCATATCAGTTTTAGGGAAATTGACAGTTTTGATCAAGCTTTCATTGGGTAAGAAACTGCATTTACATCATGTCTCGTATTTTCAAAATGGGATTTCTCACCCATTTCAAATAACAAAATCAATGGACGTGATGGTAGTTTATTATACTTCTTATTTATGTTTTTCTTTATATTTTCTGTGTACATCATGAAATATATAAGCACCCTGATTTTTTGTGTATCTTAGATGAATTTATGACACCATTAACCACCCCATAATCTTGCAGCAACATCCTCAGATGTTTAAACCATAATTTGGCATCGCACAACTTTATAGGTCTTCGACACCTTTCATGTGTTCAATTTATCCATCAAAAAGCGAGTTAATATGCCCTTTATGGGAAAAGCTGAATTTGCCAATTAGTTTAGCTGGCCAAGTCAATTAACAGAATTAAGAAAGACAGAGAATTATAATTTCACTAGAAAAATCCAAATAGCTTCTTCTACCTGTTATATGTCCTTTATGGGAAAAGATGAATTTGCCAAGTAGTATAAACTTTGACAACGTTCCCTATACATTCTTAAACTTGTGCTAACATCCTTCAATCAGCACTAGTACTGGTGTTTCTTGAACTTTTCCAGCCTGTCGTTCTTATCTGTATCTTATCAACAGATAGAACTATAGATTTAAATCTTTTGAATAATGTAAATCATGCATCAAATGCCGTGAATCAATCTTCTTGTTGGTTGTGAACCTTTTACTGAGATACCGTTGAAGCATGCTTGGTCTTTGAATGCATTCACCTTTTTTCTTTTTCTTTTTTCACAAATTATGTTTCACTAGAAGTTGAGTTTTTAGTTTTTAGTTAATGCTTAACTATGTCATCAAAGTGGTCTAATTTGAGTTTCTTTAGAGATGTAATTTTTACAAATCCATGTTGGTGTATTTATCCAGACTTCCACATTAGAAGAAAAGGCATATCCAACTTTAGATGAGTTATCAGCTAAAACCAGTACACATAATCTCAAACACGTGAGAGTCATAAAAGGTCGTTTGGTTGCTCTGTCTGGGCATGTGCAGAAGGTATAGTATTATCTCATTGACTTCTTTAATGCTCATCACTTTTTAGTGTCATTAATTGCTTTCCATTTCATCATATTAATTCTTGATAAGGGATTTTTCTTTTCTTTTTCCTTTTTCTATAAAAAAATTTGTTCTTGTTCGGAAAAGTAGCAAATTGATCCAGTATAATGATATTATGCCATATATTTTATAGGTGAGGGATGAGTTTGAACATCTACTAGATGATGACTTAGATATGGCTCAAATGTACTTGACTAATAGGCTTGCCACCTTGGAATCTGAAGGTTTAGAAGATGAACTAGGGAATGATGCAAATGTATTTAAATCGGGCAATGACAGGTAAATTAATTTCCATTTAGATTCTTGTAATATCTTTGCATGTCCTTATTATACACAGAACATGAAGACATTATTGCAAAACTACATTGTCAATGTTGGTTTTGCAGCAACACTGAGTAACTTCCCAATAAATCTCGTAGTCTAATTTTTCAATGTTAGTTTAGGTTTGATCTTGGTTTTCCCGATAAATCTCATAATCTAATTTGAACCCTGTCTAGGTATTGATTTTACCTTCACCTATAACTATTAAGGCATTAATAAACACAGAAGTTGTTCTTAGTCTTTCATAAATTTTAATTCAATGTGATTCATCATGTTTCTTGGTTTTCGATTTTCAGTGATGAGGACATGAGCAGCAAAAGCAGTACTAAAGATGTGATTCATCATGTTTCTTGGTAGGTAGCATAGTGCTAGAATTCAGTGTTGGAAAATCAGAAAATTGTGTCAGTGGCAGTTTCTCTGGTATATCAGTTCTCATGCTGAGCTTTATGTTGAAGTTTCAGGTAACTATTCATGCAGTCCTATATCTCATGTCTTTTGTATTGGTCAATTCTAAATAATTGGTAAAAAAGAATCGACCAATACAACAAGAGAGGTGAAGGACTTGAAAAGAGTTTGGAAAAATTGGTCAAACATACAAAATTGAAGGAAACCAATCAGAAAATAGAAACTCTGCTGCAAAATGTGGTAAGGTGAGCAATTTAGGCAAGCTTTTATAATTTTAAAAAAAAAATCAGTAGAAACTAAGGCATTGTGCAACCAAAATATTCCATGACATTTTATATTTCATTAAGGTGATGTGGAATTCTATCATTGTGATTTGGGGTATATTGATTCTGTGTCTGTGGAGGAAATTGGCGGTGTTAGGGTATGATCAAGCTGCTTTTGGTTTTATTTTTTTGGGCTTTTTCCTTACGTTTCTTCATCTTCTTCTTCCCCAACATGATCTTTATATCTAATATATAATAGGTCACCATTGTGAGAAATGAAGAAAGTGGAAACTCTGTATGCACTGTGGTCCTATGAGGAAGTACCGATAGTAAATTAGATGACCTTGAAAGAACAGTTGATGATGGTGTGAATACATACAAGGTAATTCTGTCCAACACATCTACGATACTTATTTTAGGTAGGTCATCTTTTATAAAAAGTATTGCATCAGTTTCTACTGGACCTTAAGAAGCTAATCTGAATGTGGCTTTATGCATCTTTGTGCTAGGCAATGTGCAGGGACAGTTGTATAGTACCTGGAGCTGCAGCTACTGAAATTGAGTTGGCTAGAAAACTGAAGGAGTTTTCTTTTAAGGAAACAGGGTACGTAGTTTCCTCTCTCTCCATAAATAGATAGATATGATGCATGGGTATATTATGAGATATGCCATGTTGAGATATGTTATCAACCATGAAATGATTAATATTGTAAGAACGCCTCAAGATACTCCAACATATATTTCAATTCCCCGATTAAATGATGTAATTGTTGTGTGTGGGGAAACCTTGGAGGTGGAGATGGGGGTTTGTTACTTTGTTTTTTTGTTTATGTATAGGGTCCTGAATTAGTTAAGAGGCAATGACTCTTGTTATCTTCCTCTATTGAGAGAAGTTTTACCTTATGGCACTTTTTGTTGTCAAAATTATCTTTTGATCATTTTTTTGCAGATGTTTACACCACAAAGATGTTTCAGCTACTGCTAGCTGCTTATTCAACAATAAGCATTCAAGATGCTTCTCTCTTCTTGGGAATGAATGAGGATGATGCTACAAACTGTAAGTTTCTAGTCTTTCTTGTGTTTTGCCTTGCAACAGCAGTACTTATCTGAATCAGAATTGTATTTTATGGGGTACACGGTGAAATATAGGCCTTGTTTGGTTTGTGTTTTAAGATATTATTTTAAAAATAATTTTCTGGAGGGAGTTTAGAAAATTTAAAAATTTGTTTGGTTGTATATTTTGAAAGGAAAATGAGTAGGAGCACTAATTAGTGCCACCACTAATGATGTGGCAGTAGGTACAGTGTTGTTGTGTCTGTTTTTTTATTTTTTTTTATTTTTATAAATGGATGCCACATCATTAGTGGTTGCTTTAGAGTACCACTTTTAGTGGTCTCTATCATTGCCCACTTTGAAAATAGTTATAGAGTTTGGGATGATTTAGGAAATTTAATAATCTGTTTTCTTTAGGCATGTTTGTTCCAATTTGCTCATAGTAGCTTTAGGCATCTTTTTCTTTTCCTTTTACGTTATTTTGTATAATTTTTACTTTCTATAATTTATTTCTTTTTAATCAACGTATAGGAATTTAGTTGGATTGGCATCTTTTATTGAATTGGGCTTGTACACTTGTTTAAATGGGTATTTCAAGCTTCAATGATCTTGTATTCTCTTTCCTGTTTTTTTACGGGTTTTGTAGCCTCTTGCCTGGATTTGAGTTCATGAATATCTCTCTTGTGTGAAATTGATCATACGTTGAAGAAATTGTTGGCAATTTTTGCAATTTTTTTAGAAAGAATTGTGTTTTACTGAATTTGAGAGCATCAGGTGGTGCCATCAATTATTTTTTTTATTGTCAATTAAAGGTCTAGAATTGTTCATCATAGACCTATTCAACATTGGCCCAGATTTTTGGTTGGATTCAAATTTGAATTTGTATGTGATGGCAAATCTCAATTTGATAAGGTTATACACATTCTAAAAGAAAAAATATGTTAAAGACCCTTCAGAAGTCTTGCCTTATTTGACATACATTGGTACAACATGCTACAAATCAACTTATTTATTTATTTGGGAGAGATACAAATCAATAGCGTTTTTATTTTTATTTTATCTTTATATGTATTTAGTGCTTCTTGGTATGTGATAAAATCTTCTTGTTAGCGCTTCTTCAAGTTTTAAGTACTATTTTTATAAGTATTGGGTACGAATTCTTCAATTTGTGTTTATTTTGGTGAATCTCATTACAGTTTATGTTATGATGCAGGCATGTAAACCAGTGAAGACTACAACTTTAATGCTAAGACATGATTTTTGGATATATGTTAGTTTGTGGTTAATGTTAAGACATGATTTTTTTATATATGTTAGTTTGTGGTTAACGTTAAAACATGATTTTTAGATTTTGGATATGTTGATTTTGTGGGTAATGGTGATTGGATATCAATTGAATGAGAAAGTGAATTAATCTTTGAATTAATGCCTTCATTACAACTATTGAATGGGAGTTGTTTATTTTAATTTAGTGCTTATTACAGCATATTTTTTTAGTTTCAATCAAATTAAAATTAGTTACCAATTTTTCAAAAAAAAAAAACAAAAAAAAAGGAGTAGTGCGAGCGTTTCTGACAAACGGCTCTTAACACTTTACATACTAAATCTCATATTTTGATTTAAAAAAGATATGGGGCGTTTTTCCAAAAACGTCGTCTAATAATTTGTCAAGCGTGTAGTTGTGTGTAGGGAGCGAGTGAGGAGCAGGGTGGGGGAGGGGGGAAAGATATGAGCGGCTGGCGGGAGCATTTGCATTATAAAAACGCCGCTATACGTAATTGGGATACGCGTTTTTAAACCCATTAGAAGCTTATAGCGCAAACGGCGCATCCTCGGACGGTTTGGATCTAAGCGCACAAAAGAATTTGCGCGGCTTTTTTGACACTTTAGCGGCGTTTTTTAAACGCCCACTAAGAGTGAATTTCTTGCCCAGTATAGATTATAGTATTAGTTTCTTTCATTTTTGTGATATTTTTCTTATCTTTTCATTAAAATTGTGCTAATAATCAATATGTTTAAGATTTTTAAGATTTTTCTTCGATTAAAAAACTATGCGCAAGATCTACAAATATCTGAATTTGCCATTCAATCATAATATAATAATTTTGAAATTGAAAAATCTCTATATTTAAATGAAGTAAAATCAAAATAAAGTTATCTAGCCATATTTACATCCATATCTTAATTTGAAATTTAAAATTTTTAAAGAAGTAAATTCCAAATATTAATAGTATATTTATATAATTTTTTTCAATTTTCTAAAAAATTTTATACTAAAAAATTAATATCAAAAATTTTTATTTTTCTACAAACTAAGAAATTTACATGTTGGGTCTACGGCAATCAATATTTATGACGGCGATCATTTATTGATCAAAAAATATTTTTATCAATTAATAATTAAGATAAATCAAGTGGCTAAACTAGAACTAATTGATTGGGTATCAACTAAGATAATTTCTACCAACGTAGAACTTGACAAAGGAATTTAGCACAAATCAATTCAAACACCGATTTTCAAGTTACTTTTATAGTGTTTAATTCAATCATTGACACCTTTCGAGAAGATAATTCATGATGCGTCTACAAATGCAAAATTTTCTATACGACGTAATCGTATTACTATTATAATAGGCATAAAATATTAGGAGAACTTATTTAGGAAAGTCCCTTCCAAGTGTAGCAACTCTTATATTAGTATCTATAAGAATTGATTTTATTTATTTAAATTTTGATTCATTGTTGGACATCTTGCAAGAGTCTTCAATCCGTTGAATGATTTTATATTGTAAGTGTACTTGTTGAACAAATTGTTCACTTTACCCTATTAACTTATATTTTGCAACCATCGTCACTTAGCAACTGTGGTAATAGTTAGACTGAACATTTACATGAAATAAATTTTAAACAATATGATATGTTCATATGACCTATGTGAAACATTAAATATGGCGCTTAAGTTTATTATAATTACGGATATTTTGATAATTATATCACCTAATAAATTTATTAAAACATTAAAATGTAATAATAAATAATTCTATTATCTCTTCATTACACTGTCATTTTCTTAAATTTTTTTTCATTACAAACTTTATCCTTGTTAGTCAATTACCTTTTAACTTCAATATTCATGTTCTCAATCCACACCGATACCCAAACCACCCCTACACCACCAACTCCTACCCTAGTCATCGGCTGACGCGCCAGTAGCTCGTCGCCCCCCTTGCCCCTTCTCCTCCTCTCCATTCTTCTCTGGGAATCTCTTCACTTACTTTTCAATCTCTCACTCTTCCTCCCTCACTATCTCCAGCCTCCGCCGTCCATCACCATCATAATGCACGCATTTGCATACTACTTAACACCGTCGTTTCCTCGCCATTTACTCAACATCCTCAGCCTTCCAGCCATCGCCAAGTCACGACCAAACCTGTTTTGCCCGGCGTTTGCCCGATCGCAATTCATTCGCCGTTCGTGTTCTTACTCCCTTCTCTGCACAATCGTCTGGCTCTCTGCTTTATGTCTTCTTCGTTGTGTGTTCATTTCTCTCTCTCTCGTCTCTTATATATTACGTATGGCCATGGAGAGCTAGGGTACAATGAGGGAGTGACGGAGAATAAAATCGCGATGCAGGGATTGTAGCAACAACGAGATATAAGATATAAGTTGGCAGTGAAGAGGAGTCGAGGAGGTTGTTCGAGTGCAATGGTGGTAGATATAGGCAGAAGAGAGCGGGAGAGATAGCGAATGTGGTAGATAAAGGCAACACATATGGGACGCGCTAGTGTGTATGGAAGATGCATCTAGGTGCCGTGTGAGATTGAAGTGAAAATATATGAGAGTGTCAAATATTGACGTTGATTTGTAGGAGCTGAGGACTGAATATGGTGAAGATATCTGAGACTGGACTAGTTTGGTGATCGTGTAAGGATGATGAGTAGATACGCTGCCATGAGATCATGCGTTAGGTAGATGGTTTTGTAGATTATAGTTTGCCGAACTACAATAGTAAAGTCAGTGAATAGAGAGACGTACACCAGAGGTTGAACCAATAAATCTGTGATAATTTTGAATATATGTAAGAAGTATTTATATCACGGCTTATATTTTCTTTTTTGTGAGTCATTTAATTCTTTTGTATGCTGTGATGAACGGCTGATAGACTTGCGACGATAGGTAAAGAGGAAGTATACATTATGAAGAAAAAAATAAAACTCAAAAAAGTTTATATGACGATAGTGCGGAGACATTGGAAGTAAAAGAATTGAGTTATAAGGTTCATGAAATTTCGACGAGTTAAGTATAATTATTATCGACGTTTAAATATGTTTATGCATTGGTAATGTGTAATTTTTTTAAAGCTGTCTAGATCATACGCAGCTAGCCGCCATCATTGGAGTGTTCACATGTCCACGTTTGGAAAAAATATATACTAAGGAAGTTTGTTAATTTTATTAAAATGTTACATCATATGATAGGTCTCAGCACTATGCAAGTTAAAGGTACAATAAGTTTTGAAAATAAGATAGATAGAGTGTGAACTGAAGTTGTATTTTGGACGAATATATAGAATTTTTAATTCTGTTTAGAGTAACGACGTCATTATCCGTTACTCTGAGTTGACATGTCATGTTTGTATTGAGGAAATAACGACACACAACGTGGAGTTGTTTTGAATTTTTTTATTTTAAAAGTGTCATTATCATCATCCACCACGTTCGTTAACGGTTTTGGAAAATACAAACATAGAATAGTTTTGTTAATTTCTTTTCTAGAATGTCACATACAAATAGCCTCGCCACGTTGTCACGTTTGAGAAAGTTACACTAAAGGAGTTTTGATTTTTTATTTTTTTGGCAAGGGTTTAAACCATACCGCTAGGTTGTCACATTGAAAGAAGAAGTATACTAAGAATTTATTTGTTTTATTATCGTAAGAAGTTTTTGGAGTCGTCACATTAATTAACATGTCAACGTTGTCAACATTTTAAAAAGAGTACACCTATCGAGTTTTTTATATGTTTCTACTTGTTTCTTGTGTGTATTGTTTTAAATCATTTCAGTAAGTACCTTGTCATTGGGGTATTCGCCATCAACTTTGCTATAAACGCAGCATTAATACGACA